ACTCTGTTGGGCCATACGTGTCTTTTTTCCTCTGTGTCCTTTCAGGATTTTCTCTTTATCACTGGTTTTGAGACTATGGTTGGCATAATTTGCAAATTTGTTGTGCTTCGCTTTTTCTGAGCTTTTTGGATCTCAGAGAGATAAAAAAAATATGTTTCATTTTTTAAATATTGTGGTTTTTTCTGGGGTGCAGTAAAATTACTTGGAACTGCTTGATCCTTGTGAGTCTAGCTTTTCAGGTTTACTAGGTGAGACCAGAACTATGGTTAGCAAAGGGCTTAGCACTAAAGAGGTAAGAGCCACTGCCCCCATAAATTATGAGGTTTAAACCAGGTGTAAGTTAAACCTATTTTTTATGGTAAGTAAATCAACATCATCATCTGTATCACGTATCTCAAAGGAAAGATTTTGGATTTTCTAGGTTTGAACTATTCAAAGCACTGCTTTCAGCCATCTGCTTATATGAGACCAATGTCCTTAAACAATAATGACGTCATGAGCTTCCTTCTGTATTCTTTACAAGTTTCAAAGGTGTTAAGCATCAGGGTCCTCTCTCTCCTAGGTCCTCATGTGCGATACATCCCAAAGCCTGACAACAGTCCCTGCTCCATCACTGACTCCGTCAAGCGGTTCCCAAAAGAGGAGGCCACAGATGGGAATGCCACCAGCCCTCCACAGAACCCACCCACCAACCTCACTGTGGTCACCGTGGAAGGGTGTCCTTCATTTGTCATCTTGGACTGGGAAAAGCCACTAAATGACACTGTCACTGGTAAGATCCTGTTACGAGGTCTGTCACTACTGTGGGAAGCTTTCCTAATGGGATACATTGGGAGTGGGCACCCTGGGCCCACTGTGACAAGTGAGTCAAATCTGCAAAGGGGCAAGTCCTGGGAGAGTTCTGCTGTCCTTGTGGTGCATTATTGTAAAAGTGTCACAGGATGGGACAAACATCCTTGTCCTGGTTATGGGCTCCCACTTAATTTAGCACATCTCTTCAAGCCACAGTCCCCCCATCTCCTCTCAGAACTCTGTCTCACAATATGAAGACGTAGCTAGACTTTCCATTACCAAGAAACTACAGAACATATATGAAGGAATCGCCATTGCCGATACTTAAACTAGTTTCCTGTTCGCAACCTAGTTTCCAAAAGAACCTAGAACTTTCAAGCAGGTTGAAGTTATTTCAACTGTCTTAGGAGAAATAAAAACAAAACTTCTCTTCCTGGTCATCACAACAAAGCTAGATTCTGCCACCATTTACCCAATTCCTCTAAAAATGACTGAAAAATAAAAAACCCTGGGTCACTCTTTGAATTTGTTATGACAGGTTGGTTCTCATAATGAACAGGATAGTCAGAATGGGGAGAAGGCTACCCGAAATCAGCTAGAAGATAGAGCAAGTAGTCAGTATGAGGATGTGAGGTCCCTGCCACGGACCTGGTACTAGAAGACGAGTAATATAGGGGTCAACTAAGAGGCTGTCAGGAACAGAGAGGAGCACAGAGCCAGGCAAGAAGTGGGGAGATTCAGGACCTGCCAAAAACATTTCCTGTGTAACAAACAGCAGCTATTTCTCCTCAGATGGAGCCCTTTTGATCTGAGCAACTTCTAGTGTAAGCATTTTATCATTACCTAGCTTGCTTTTTTTTTTTTTTTTTTTTTTTTTACCATTTTTCTTTTCTTGTGAATTTCCCTTTCACATGCAAAGCTAGCCTTGGGGGGGTGGGTGTTGTTGTTTGTTTGTTGGTCTGTTTAGAGACAATATTTCCCTCTGTCACTAAAGCTGTAATACAGTAATGCAGTTATAGTCTACTACAGCCTCAGAGTCCTGGGTTCAAGTGATCCTCCTGCCTCAGCCACTGCATTTGGCCTAGCTGTTTGAGAAAGAACCAACAATTTCCATTTGGTTCCTGGAGGTTGGCCTTGTCCTGCTTTTTACTTGGGCCTACCGTCTCAATATCTAAAAATCAATCTCTCAATATCGATTATCTACATGTACTAAAACATCCCAGACTCTCCATTCATGTAATATATTTACAAGGCATTCCTATGATAGACTGAGGCTTAGTTCTCATAAAATCAAGTGATTTGTAAAATTTCATTTGCCTTAAAGATGTGGGACATTAAGTTAGAACTGGCTCTTCAAATATATATCCATTGGATGTCTCAATAATATTTGGTTTAACTTTTCAAAGGTGAAAGATTTTCCTTTTTGATTTTATAAATTTCTAACTTCAAAGAATCGTGGATAGAGAGTATGCCTTACCTAATCAATTGCTTTTGTAATGTGTTACTAAATGTTAATGGGTTGCTTAGGAACTTTCACAAGATAAGGGAACTTATAATAACCATTTTTACAGACGAGGACCACCTCTCTTTACTATAATGTTTCCTAAATAGAAATAACTTTTTATTTAACCATTGCTCAGCTAGTCCCTATTTAAACATCAGACCATTGATCCTAAGGCTCTCAATTTTTTTTCATTTCAGTATTTCATTAAATATCACTTGATTTCAAATGTCTTGTTTATAGATCAGCAGCTCAGATAATACAGAGATCAAGTCTTACAGTCACTTTATGTGAGTAGCTTTAGTACACTATTAGCACCAAGAGCAGCACCATGGTTAGCAAATGGTTTTACAACAGAATATTGAGAAATAACAAAAAGCATGAATCATATTCTTCATTCCTCTGAGGTGACTTCTGTGAGTGATTTTCTTTGAGTTGATGGGCCCATATTCCCCTCTAGTGAATGCAGCTGCTTTTACATGTCCCTTCAACACTCAAGTGGAAATAGGTGCACCTAAAAACTAGCCATAGACACATTAAAGTGATGTTCATTGTAAGTCATTGCTATATGATATTCCAGGAGCCTCCGGGAAACGATGTAAATCCCAGGCCTGCTTTATTCTAGATGTGCAACTTGGGCATATGATTGGCCTCTTTGAGCCTTAGTCTCCTTGTCTCTAATAATAGTCATTCCCATTGTTATCAATTATCCTGAGGATAAAATTAAATAAAGTATTTGAATATGTGGCATAAATTAGGAATTATTAAATTAATGTTTGTCAGTAGTAGCAGTAACAGAAGCAATTTGTATTACGTTGGTGAATTTATGAAAAGGCATTAGCCCTTCAAGCATCAAAAAATAAAAGATATATTTACAAAGCAAAAGGCAAACATTTTCAATAGCTATAATTCAAAATTCTAAATGTTCTTTTAATTAGGAAAGAAGCTTCTAGATCCATTTTGAAAACTCTAATCTCCCAAGAAAAGATAGTATTTAATCAACTATTAAAACTTAAAACAAATGAAAATTAGAGAAGATGTACAGTAAATTTTTAAGTATTAAAGCTAGTCCTTAGGCTGGGTTAGTATTAAGAAGGATAGCATACAGCTGATGAGGAATGTGCCAACCCAAAGGTGTTTTCTGAATGTGGTTGCTTTGGTACATGACCAGCTAGAGTGTCATATAAACTGTTTTCTTGGTGACTAAGCAGCACGTGAATCTTTGCAGTGGGAATCTTGGAAATTTTGTGATGCTATTTTCAGGACACTATTCAGGGAGAAGAAAGAATTACTGAAGCAAAAATAATAAGAAGTACCACCTATTGAGCAAAATACATGCAAAATAGTATTAGGAACTTTCCACATCTTCTTAATTTAACCCACACCAAGCCTATGAAGAGATATTATTGGCACTATACGAAGGGGAAGACTTGAGACCGAGTTTAAGGCAAGTGGCTTGGTCGGTCTCTTCCTGTTACACCATGCGGTTTCCATTTTTTCAAACATCAATTTTACTTATGTTTTAATTACTTCAACTTTTTCTAATATGTATCCCTTTACGGCAGAGGACAAGATACCACATGGACAGATTTGAATTTAAGATCCTCCCCCGTGCCTCCCTCCTTTTCCAATCTGTTAGAATGGACGGCCAATTGAGAGATGGGTTGGGATCAATGAGGGCACAAAAGATCAATCATTAGTCCTTTAATAGCTACAGAGGGTATCCAGATATAGTGGTCACTGTCTTCCAGTTTAATTTTGAATTTTTGAAAGGATAATCATATACAGTTAAATTATAAAATTATTCAGAAAAAAGTCATCTTCCTTTTTAGATTTTTAAAATATATTATTAAGAATCCTCCCTAGGCTGGGCAGTAGCTCACACCTATAATTTCAGCACTTCAGGAGGCCAAGGCTGGAACACAGCTTGAGGCCAGGAGTTCAAGATCAGCCTGAACAATATAGGGAGACCCTGAATCTACAAAAAGTAAAAAAAGTAAGCCAGATGGGGTAACATGAGCCTGTAATCCCAGATACTTGGGAGGCTGAGGCAGGAGGATGGCTTGAGCTATTGAGGCTGCAGCGAGCAATAATGACACCAATGTACTCTAGTCAGAGTGACAGAGTGAGACTCAACAAACAAACAAACAACAACAACAACAAAAATCCTCCATACATATAAATTGGTGATTTCAGGACTTTTGAGGTCTACCTGTGCTATTGCAGTTTTTGTTTTATTTTGGATATTTAGCTTGCATGCTAATCTCAGAAATTCCCAGTATAACTTGCCAGAAGGCTTTTGCAGCCTTTCTACCTTATCTGAGGCCCAGAATTTGTGTGTTTCTTCGTAGTAATGGAGCTGATTCTGAGTGGGGCTGAGAGTGGGAAGAACCAATTAACAAACATGTAAACTGTATTTTCTTATACAAGTTCATAGAAACAGGCCTCTGACTGAAGTTTATGCAGACCTCTATGCAGACTGTAAGGGCATGATTTTTTTTTTTTAATACAAAGAAAATGATCAAGAAAGCATAACTTACATAAGCAGTAGGTACAAAACCCCACTAATTTTATAGTTTAAAATAACAAATGACAGGAGAGTATAATTTATTATTTAACTATTATTTCCTGCCACAAACTCAAAGGGGTGTTTGGCAGCAACACCACGGGCTCAGCAGCCTGCCCCCAACCACACTGCAAAGCTCATGAAGCAGGAAACACAGCTTCTTCTCAGGCGTCACTCCTCACACCCTGCTTTCCCCAAGCTGGGCTTTCCAACAGTGCTGGGAGATCTTTCTTACCGAACAAAATCAAAGGTTACATATCCAGAGCAAACACAGAGTGTCATCGATCTGTCCAGGTACTGGGCCCTCCTCTGCCCCAGTAAAAGGAAAGCAGAAACCATCAGTGAGCAAATCCCCAAAGGCTTCTAGGACCTTTGTCACCTGCTTACCACCCCCACCTGAATTGCTAATGTAAAAGATAGGGTGACCAGACGTCCCGATTTTAGTGGGCAGTCCCCTTTTCAACAATTTGTCCCGCGTCCTGTGACGTTGTAAAAAAGTCCTGATTTTTGGAAAGAATGCACAAACGGGCTGGAGAACAAGAAGGGAATATACGGCTTTCGGCCGCCATATGGCTATTTCGCCAGAATATGAATTTTATATTATTTTTGTTAATTTTATAATGTTAAACTGTAATAAATAATTGCCGAGAAGTGATTATGGAGAACTCCTTATCAAAGTTTGCCTTGTTGTCAGGCCCTGCCCGGCGCCGTCCCCTCAGCTTCGCCCCTGCTCCGCCCCCGGCCATGTTGTCCCGACTTACAGATGTTAAAATCTGGTTACCCTATATAAGATCAATATACCTCATAAGCTGCAACCTCGATTGCTCACGTTTATGAGAGTGGCTTTATTACGCTGTCAGCACCAAGAGCAGTTAAATCAGTGGGGAAATAAAGAGAAGTATCTTTTGGCCTTTTTTACTTTTCAGAATATGAAGTTATATCCAAGGAAAATGGGTCATTCAGTGGAAAGAACAAGTCCATTCAAATTACAAATCAGACCTTCTCCACAGTAGAAAATCTGAAACCGGACACAAGGTAAGCCACCAGTGCTATTCCAGGTGAATTCTGAGAGCGCGAAAGTCATGACCACAACAACGAAATGAACTTATGCATGTATCTTCATCATCTTCTTGGTCTTTAAGGAGGTTCTGGCCTGCATCTCACTCTTTGGCTTTCCATATGTGACAGTAGATACCTCTGGAGTCATATTTAGCAAATATGCACGTTACTGATTGCCGCCTCTCGACCGGCTGGTGGCGGTGGTTTGGGGAGTCAGCGTATGAAAGGAGAAGACAAATAAGACAAAGACACATTGGGAAAGGGACTGAGCCGAAGCTGTTTATTGTAATAGGTAGGGGTTTATATAGGTTCAGTTAGTGGGGGAACGAGGGGTACTTCTAAATTTTGTTATGTATGTAGTCCTGGTTTGTGATAGGCTAGTATTGTGAGGATGAAGTAGGAAGGAGGTGGAGAGTGATATGAGTAAATTTTTTTGGAATGTGTGCACGTGTTAAACTGCCTCTGGTCTTTTGTATCGTTTCTCTTAATTAGCAAGGTCGTTAGGCACCTCCTTCTAAGATGCACTTTCTCTTGAATGTGCTGTAATATAGTTGTTAACCCTTACAACTGATGGGGACCAAAGAGCTGACAAGATGGTCTTGTAAGTTAACAGCATAACAACATAACTAAATAGAGGGCTATTGATGCTGAATGTTTATGTTAAATACCAAAGTTGGAAGGAAAGATCTGTGGACCAGAGACAACTAGGATGTAAATTAGATCTACATTAGAACTAAGAGGTAAATTAGATTTAAAGCACAAAGAAATCTGGCTGTCACGCTGAAAGGGGGAGGGCGAGGAAATGCAAGTCACGCGACAAAATGTAGTTAAAGTGTTTAATAGTTAATTCTTCAGATAACTGCAAGTCCCAGGCACACAGTCCTGTGCTTTTGGAACCCTTTACTACAAATAAGAAAGGAATTTGATAATAGAGTTACATATTTTTAACATTATAATAAACAACTCTTCTTAAGTACCCCTTATTACACACTGATACCATGTTATTCACATTGCTGTACAGTTTTATGATTTTTTAAATCTAAAATACACAACATTTTATCAATTCATTATATTATTGATAGAAAAATGAGGTCTTTAGTTGTTTCTAGAAATCTAGTAGGGAAGTTTCCTTTTTCTCTTAGTTTCACATTTGTCATCAATTGATTGAGTAGAATTGGGTATTGATAGGCACACTCAAAAGAACCTATTTTGGTTCTGACAATAGGGAGACTTTTCTTTTTATGGCAAAGGAAGCATCTAATTCATAATAGATGGTTTGCCGTATACACATATAAGCTATAGTCCTATATTGCAAAAATAACTCTTCTTCCACAACTATTTTTTTCTCTAAACTTTACTATTTTGAGATATAACATGGAAAATTTTGCAATTTAATTTATTTTCTTAAAATATTCAAGGTAGCCAAAATAAACATTTATTTCAGTAAAAGCCCATTTGATGATCTTGGTTGTTTCCTTAGCAAGACTTTTTACCACAAAACATTTTTTTTTAATATATTTTAAGGAAAAGGCAAAAGAGAAAAGGTCATTTAACTTAGACTTTTTAACCGGGGAATTTTTGTCCCAGCTACTCAGGAGGCTGAGTCCCAGCTACTAAGGAGGCTGAGGCAAGAGAATCACCTAAGCCCAAGAGCTGGAGGTTGCTGTGAGCTATGACACCACAGCACTCTACCAAGGGCAACAAAGTGAGACTCTGTCTCTTTAAACACACACACACACACACACACACACACAGATGGTTTTTCTCTTCATTTTCCTGCATTTTATTCCACTTAATAAAAGGTAACTGCGCAGTATACCACCTTCACTGAAAAGGGCCCGAGTTCTAAATGTACATTGGGTTACTTTTGGGAATTGAGCTGTCCTCAGATCTGACTGTGGAACAGTTATTCTAGTGACATTTTAAACCCGATTTGTTTGTGAAAGGTTTGTCTTCCTATTCAACTAACATTTGTTAAATGCCAACAATGTGTCCAGTGGTAGGCTTGGTGTTGTGGCCATAACATGAATAAAGAAGGTTGCTGCGCCTGAGCTAGAGGGAGGCAGGCAGCTAATTTACCAGGTGCTCTGCACAAGGGACCAGAGCACTGACAGAAGCACATCCCACAGTGCCCTGGTAGCTCAGGGTGGTGACACTCCAAGTTTGGGGAAATGAGGAGAATTTTCCTGGAGGTGACAGTTGGGCTGAGGCTGGTAGGTGGTTGAGATAGGGAGGGATGTCAGGTGGCATGGCTGAGTGCCACAAACCATGGGCAATTTTCCCCAGTGCACGTGGTGAAAACAGGATGAGTCCTAAAATGATTACAGCCAGAAGCTCCATGTGGACCCATGACCTGTGACTGGAGGCAGGAGCAGCAAAGAGAGGGAGAAGCCAGGGTGGAGGAGCCCTGGTGAGCCAGATCAGGAGCTGGGGCAGCCTGGAGTGGTGGTGACTGGGCAGTGAGTTGCTCTTTCATTATAGTTTTCATTTTTTTTTTTTACCCATGCAGTATATAATTTTATTATAAACTCAAATGAAAAACAAAATTGGAGTTTGAAGAGACTTAGGAAATACCACTTTTATTAATGTCTTGGCAAGAGTGCCATTTGGGCATCTGACCTAACTGGTGAAGGAGGTGGGAAGAAAAAGTATCCTTGGACCGAGCTGCATCTTATTCTGTAACCACAGGTCATGGGGCCACATGGACCTTCTGGTTGTAATCATTTTGGATTCGTCCTGTTTCTGGAGTTGGCTCAGACTGAAGGACAGCATGACCGACCTCTTTAGTCCATCCTCCTCATATGGGTCTTGCTTTTCTCTCCTGTCCCCCAGCAGTGAGATTTCCATGGAGGCCCCTAAAACCTACCCTGACCGCACACTGACAAAGCCTAAGGAGGCCCTCTCTGAATTTCTCTTTGGGAAAAGCAATTATTACAATAAGTCAAGTTTAGGGACCCCTAAAATCAGGATCCTGTGCTGGATTTCACCACTGGCACTAGTTTGTGGTATTTCAGTTTGTCTGTATTTGGTTTACTTAAAGCTATTTTAGAGTTTTGGTATCATCTAATGAAGTCCAGTACAATATCAAGACCATTAATTATCATATATATAATTCAGCCAGGATTATACTGGTAGTCCCTACTAATGGCTCATGGTTTAAAACTGTCAATCAGTAGTTTGAGGTAAACAACATTTTGCCACTTGAGGGAAAAAAATAGTAATATACATGGATGTAACAGAGTGTGATGAAAACTGCATAGTCTACATATATGAAACCTTGTAGTGGCCAAGTAGTTCAATAGATCTTACTGCTCAGCAAGCCTGTGAATGCATCCTACACCTCTTTTAAAGGAGGTATATCAGAAATTAATGTGTCTGTTTAATGGGCAAAACATATTTTCAGCTGAAATATTAAAATTATGTGTTGAAACGCCCATTAAAGTAATGCGTTAAGAAGAAGAAGGTGAAGTAAATTGTGTTAATTAACATGATATTTCTGAAGCCTAAAAGTATCTGGGAAAACACAACTAATGCCTGTGAAGTAATCTGTGATTTAGAAGGAGAGAAAGATTCACAGAACAGTTGACACTAGAACTTGACAGGAAGGAAGATGGAAGGGGCAGGCTAGCAAGAAAAGGAAAGGAAACCACAGGGTTATTCTTTCTAAGCAAATCCGTGTGCATGACTTAGGTGAAATACATGTAGTACTCGGAGTACTACTCACAGCAAGGCTAAAGCCAGAAAAACAAAATTACCAGTTCAAAAATTGAGGTTTGTTGGCTTTTTTGATACTATCTTAAGTGGAAGGTTTCTTTCTACTGTATCTCTTCCACCCAACCCTGATTCAAGATGAATGCGAATAAAAGACACACTGTAGGCTCAGCCCCCATAGCTCAGTGGTTAGGGCGCCAGCCACATACACTGGGGCTGATGAGTTCAAATCTGGCCTGGGTCTGCTAAATAGAATGACAGCTACAATAAAAAAATAGCCAGGCATTGTGACAGGTGCCTATAGTCCCAGCTACTTGGGAGGCTGAGACAAGAGAATCACTTAAGCCTAAGAGTTTGAGGTTGCTGTAAGCTGTGATGCCATAGCACTCTACTGAGGCCAACATAGTGAGACTCTATCTCAAAAAAAAAAAAAAAAGAAAACCCACTGTACAATGCAGGAAGTATATACAAGATGCAGCCACCAAGTGGTTTTTACTCAGATTAACTATAAAGAATAACCCTACTTATATTTCAATGCTTGGGGGAAATTTGAATCAAAGTATATGGTCAAATTGAATTTCTAACATAGGTAAACTCTGAACTATAGCTATTAAAATTCCCCCATGAGATTCTGAAGTCCATATAATTAGAAGACAGGTAATAGCTTCTGAAAGAATTACAGCAGCTATGTTCTAATACTAGGAGATACATGCAAATCACTTATTTTAGTAGCATTTTCCATCATTTGTCTTGACTAAAATTCACGATATTTGAAATCAGATGATAGTTACTGGAAAAGCTTTACACATGGACACAGGTGGAGTAGAGTTTGGTATTCGAATGTTTAACCCAGGGGAAACAAGGCAGAGAGTAGCAATCTGTAAAGTAGTTCTGGTTAGAAATTCTAAATGGTCACACCCTGATCCAAAAGCAGAATGTCGGAAGACTATGCTTTCCTTTCCGAATGTAAGCTAAACTCCTTCCTCCTGCCTGTTTTTATGACTTAGCCAGGTTTTTATCTATACTGCAGAAGCTCAAAAAATGGCCCACGGTAATGGACCATCCAGAAGCTGTTTTGCTGATGGGAAAATCTGGCTCCACACCTGCATCCCATGTTCTTGTATATAGAGAGCCACAAGGGGTTCCTGGGTGCAGCTCCAGAGGTGGCACAGCCTGCCCAGCAGCTGCAGTGGGCTGTGGTCATTTATATGCACAGGGGAGGGGAGCCTTTTGTGGGGAGCCATAAGTGTCTTTGTCAAGTGAAG